GACAGGACAGACGCGAGAGGCCCCATCCCGGCTCGACGTTCGTTTCTACCTCGGTACAGAAGCGAGCAGCATCCAAGAAAGGAGATGCTCCTGGAAACCAGGTCTGATCCCGGGCAGAAGCCAGGCAGCCACGTGGTGAGAGGCAGAAAAACGTCACTGGAAGCACTGCTGGAGAGAAGAGAAGAGAGGTGAGCAGAGGCCCCCACCGCCCGCGAGGTGGAGGCTGACCGACGGACCACAGTCAAAGCATTCAAGCCGGAGCCTCGCGGCATCCTTCAGCGCCAAAAGCAGATCCCGCTCCCGAGTCCCAGCTGTTTTCCCAGATGTTACTTGTGGTGGGGAATCTCAGTCTCAACCAGGCCAAAGTCACAAGCGCCCCAGCAGAAAAGCGGCAGCCTTAGACCCCGCCATCTTAGGAAGTTTGGACGTGAGCTGCCAGAGCCTTTTCTGCCCCAACAGGCAGAAACCTGGCGTCTAGCAGCACTAGAAACGCCAGCCCTCGGCCTTCTCCTCAGCCTGCAACGGGGAAAGTTGCTGCTGTCTGCTTGTATATTTTTGCCCTCAGTCCTATTTACATGTAAGCTGGGCTGACAACTCCTCTTCATCACCGTGCCAGGGCCTTCCTCAGAGGCCATGCATCTCAAGCAGGACAGCACCATAAATATTGCATAGGTGGTGTTTCTAATCTAGTTATGGGTTCAGCCTCTCACGCTCTTAAATCCATCAGGGAGCCTTGGATTGAAATTGAAGTGTATTAGTATAATTTTATCAGGTTTTATTAAGCCTACGGTCTTACGTTTTTGATATATAGTTTTAATTAAGTTTTAAGTCAAAGAATGCAGTTGCTCATATTTTATCTTGCCATGTCACATCAGAGGAAGGCAGTTAATCAGCATGTACAAAAACTTCCCATCGCCAATGATGAACGTTCATGAACTTTGCCTGCAGAGACCATCTTCCTTCCATCACTCACCGCAGGAAACCACAGCCTCTCCAACCCTTCTTCCCAGCTCCAATTTTTCCTCGTCCTCCCCTCTCTCCACGTACGTACGCTCACGTCCAGTCCTGCCCTCCAAACACCACTCCTCCCGCAGCATCCACGAGGAACGCAAACACGCAGGCAGGGAAAAGAACGACTCCAAAGAGGGAGAAGGCAGCACGGAGGCAGCTGACACCAGGGGGCAGTTCCTTCCCCCCCCGCCGCGCCTGCCACTGCCAGCCGGGAGAGCGGCCGTTTGGACCAAGCAGCAGGTCCTGGGAACGCTAGCAAAGGTTTTGTCCGCGTGCATTGTCCTCCTGCAGGGAAAGCCCAGCACCGAGGCAGCTTCCTGCCAGGTGCCGCAACGGGATGGAACCGAGGGAACGCTCCGGTTAAGCCCGTTACTCAAAGCCTTTCCCGCTCCCCAACCAAAATGCAGACAGGCAAACTGCAGCCTGCATGGACACGCACAAGGACCCACCTACTCTTACAGTTTCAAAGCAGCCAGCCAGCACGAGCAAACTGGCAGAAGGGATGGGAAGGACGGTTACGGATGGAGGAGGAGGAGGGAGCAGCGGCCAGGGTGGGCTCTGGGTGCTCATTTCTCAGACGAACCCTTAGGACCTCTCTCCTGACCTGCAGCACCCACAAGACTTAGACGGGCAAGGGAAGCCACCCTCCAGCACAACCTCAGACCGAAAGGGCCCAGTCTCAAAGCACGTAGTATTTTGCACTCGATTTCCTTCCTTGGCGGGCACGCGGGGGGATCTGTACGCCCCCAGGGAAACCAGAAGCTCCCTCCCAGGAATTTCCGAGCAAACCAGTAGGAACTTGCAAACGGAGGAGCTGCGTCCACCTGCCCCCAGCGACTGGCCAGACCCAGCCTCCCCGCACAGGGCAATCCTTTTGGCAGCCCTCTCTGGTTTTGCGGCTCAGCCCTCCCAAAACATCAGCACGCTGGTTTGGGGAGATCCCAGGGGAACGCGCATCTCAGCCCAGGACCGGTTCCCAGCAACAGGTAAACCATCACCTCGCCCCGAGTCCAACACGGGGCTATAGGCTGGGTCACACGCTGGAGCAAGGGGCCGAACCTGGACAGGTTTTTTCTCTCCCGTTGGGGAAAGAAAATCCCAGCCCTTGCCTTGTAGGGACTGTCCTGGCCACAGCGACGGGCGCTGAACAACAGCTCCCGGGGACGGCCGAACGCCACGGCGGCGCAGCCTCAGCCCGTCCCCGCGCCCCAAGCC